AACTCCACTGTGGGTGGTAAACACCAGGCTGAAGCTGCAAGGAGCAAAATTTAGGAATGAAGACATTGTACCCACCAACTACAAAGGTATTATTGGTAAGTGTCTCTTGGCTGAGTTCCTATTTAAGGGTTTTCTTTCCTCTTTACATCTGGAGTCTATTGCCACAATAAAGCTACATAGCAGACAACCTCAAATCTCAGCATTAGTAGCATTAGTAGCATTTGTTTAGCTCATGTGTCTGTAGATTGACAGGAATTTGACTCATCTAGGGTGACCCCAGCCTGAGAGTCTTAGCTCCACATGTCTCTCTTCCTCTTCCTGGGACCAGCATGAGCATATTCGTCTCATGGTGGTGGCAGAAACACAAAGGATACACCCACTGGTCCAAGCATATTTCAGGACTCTGTTTGCACTTTGCTGACATTCCAATGGCCAAAGCACATTAACTGGCCAAGCCCAAGATAAGGGATAGAGAAGTATACCACACCCAAGCAGTATAGATAGGAGGGAATGAATATTTTTGAGTAATAATCTATACTTTTTTTTGCTTGTGCTGTCTTTGGATAAAGGTACCAAATTGGTATCTGATATCTTTGAGCTGCTTTTTGATAGTACCACATTGCCAGCTTCTCCGTTCCCACATATCAATCTTTGTAATGAGAATGGTAGTTTTCTTATAAGTCACATCCACTATAATGGTCTCCAGGATCTCATCTTTTGTTGTACTAGACTTTATTGTGAAACCTGTGGGCTCAGTTCACAATTCTGTGTAATACAGAGTTCCCAGTAGTGGTGATAATTACTTAGGAAAATTTGACATTCTAAGCCCAGATTGTCAGTAAGAGTTGCCTGTGATTGAAGTTGGTCTCTAAAGAACTTGGTGACTGTCAGTGTCTGATTATTAAACAGTAGTTAGCTGATAAACTTGCCCCCAGAATACCATTGCAAGAAGGAAATCTTTATAGAGCCAATGTGGTTTGTGTTCTGGGTATATTTGGACAGAATTCATGTTTTCCCGTCTAGGTAGGGGATTATCATTATGCTTTTCAAAAATCCCTGATTTCTTGCTTAGATGCTTTTCACCAGATCATTCGAGATGAAGGAATCTTGGCTTTATGGAATGGCACATTTCCCTCCTTGCTGTTGGTCTTCAATCCTGCCATCCAATTCATGTTCTATGAAGGTTTAA